CATGCAGTGTTCAAGGAGCTTACACAGATTATGTGACAAATATGTTGTGTATGTTTCAGTTGGAATGTGGTATCTGCAAAGGGTTTGAAGGTTTACTTCAAAGGACGTACTTTTTGTGTTTAAAAACACACATACAGACACCAAAATGTCTAACTCATCCTTACAAAATGCCAGCACTAGGGACTTGGCAAGACTCAGGGAATGTTTCATCCTTGATATAGGGCTTTCTTAGTTGCCAGGAGACAGTAACTTCCTAGGCAGATGTCTGTCTGCTCATACTCCACACCAGCTGCCACCTCTTTCCTGAGCCAAACCCTTGTGCTTACATTATGCTAGGAAGTCCCATAGATGCTTCTCCTGAAGTAATATTATTAATATTAATCATCTTGTCAATCTGTATTGAATGTCATATTTTATCAATCCAGTAAAATAGATTATGCCAAAAGTGAGTGGATAGATAAGGAAATGCTTTTTTAAAATATAGTATTTGAATAACTATTATACCCAAATGTATGTGATAGGACTTTTTCCAAACAGGTTCTACTTTTGTCCAACCTTAAGCATAATAATAATATATATAGATTGAGTAGTTCATATTAATTTAGAAACTACACTCTGTTGAATATGTATATATCCCAATATTAAGTACTTAGAAATTCAAGTACTTATAGACTAAGAATTTACCACACACACAAGACTAATACCACACACACACACACACACACACACACACACACACACACCTGCAACTTGATGTTGGATGAATTTATAGTTTTTCTTCAGTGGCATAAAACACGATTAATGTTAAAAAGACTAAGGTAGAGTTCCTGAATCAAGTTCTCCCCATCTAGGGCTGGATATCGGGGATAATGCCTGACAAGCTTTGTTAGTACTACAGTAGAGACATCTAAGACTACCTAGGATGTTTAGAAATTCCTAGTATTTGCCAACTGTTCTGTTGATTCATTTTAAACTATCCAGTAACTGATATCCTCAAAAGAAGATAGGATTTTTTTTTCTGTTCAGAGAATAGACTGAAAACCTTATGTGCAACTGACTTGGTTTTTAATGGCTGAAGATCTTATGTGCAACTGCCCTGGGTCATATATCCTCTGCCTTGCTCAGTCCTACACCAGCAAAACAGATGCTTCCTAGTCCTCCAGGGGGGAATATTCTTACTCCTTCCAATACTGAATTGAAACTCAACCACCTCATTAGGAAACAGGAAATCATCACCATCAAGGCTAGTTTCAAAGTTTGGAGGCACTAGATCAGAGGTATCCAGCATACTATGCTTCTTTCCACCTCAGGGTCTTAACATATGTCATCTCCGCTGCCTGCTACCATTCTTCTTCCTCTTTAGCTATCTTACCAATCCTTTAGAGTTCAGCTTAGTTCAAATACTACGTCATTTTTAATTAATTTACCTATTCTAATCTTGCTCTCATTATGTAAGTTTGTAAGTTTTTTATGTTATTTTTCTTGTGCTTGTTTTGTTTTTTACATACATTGTCATTTTTAATTAATTTACCTATTCTAATTTTGCTCTCATTATGTAAGTTTGTAAGTTTTTTTGTGTTATTTTTTCTTGTGCTTGTTTTGTTTTTTACATACATAAGATTATTAATTTGGGGTAATTGACAGAAACCCAATTTTGTTAATCCCTTTTTGTGTTGCAGTATCAATACACCTAAGGATCTGGAGACACCCAGTACTTATTACACAATATTGTGTAGTTAACTGTTGTGCATTGTACCCTAAGCTTTATAATAGCAAAATCATAGTAGGAGCTCAATACATGTTTGTCGTTGAGTGAATAAATGACTGACTTAGGGAGTAAATGAGAAAAGGCTAGAAGAAAGACACAGAATAGAGAGCCAGGCAGAAAAGAAGACAGAAATTTAGGAGAATGCTTTACAGAGAGGGGAAAGAGAGAGAAGTGGAGAGAGGGAAGCAGAGAAAGAGACAGATAAAGTAGCAGAGGGAGAAAGAGAAGTGGAAGAGCAGGAGAGCCAGCAGAGGAAAGGACTGGGGGCTCTGCGATAAGTGGTAGAGGTTTGGCTGCCTAGCAGTTGTGTATCACAGGAACGTAGCACTTCCTTGAAAATACTAACGAATCTTCTAGCACTTTTAAATCACTACAGAATCTTCTACACTATTAAACCACATTGAAATTTTGGGTTTCAGACCTCAAAGTTTATTTTTGAAGGCTTATTTTCCTAGAGAATTTTGAAGATCTTATCTGGGCACAAAGATATTACTTAGATTTTAGGCGGTTTATTTTTGTTTTGTTTGGTCTTGTTTTTTAGTATTAGAGGTATCCAAATGACCAGTTCTCTCTGAAAAGTCTTTTGCCTTTTAAAGTATACCAGATTACCTTAGTCTTTCTTCTTTAAAAGATGAAGACCTGCCTCCAACATTATTGCAAAACTGTACTTGAAACCAGCACCTATTTGTATTATTTTGAACTATTTTGGTATTTCAATCAAAACCAATTTGGGGGTTTTGAAGTCCTAGTCAGGATGATGAACATAGGAACAATTAAAATCACAATACTTCCCCCATTTTCTACCTGGGTAATACAGCTCTGTCTGAATACAAGGATAACTATTGTGCTCAGGGGCTGTCAAAGTAACTCTGGCCAGATAAAGGAATCTGGCAACATACATTCCTAGACAGAAATCAAAAGTTTGGTCCAAGGCATCAGAATTATTTGAGATGCTTGTTGTAAATGCATCTTTCAGGCTCCCATCCTAGACCTTGAATCAGAGTCATTCCACATGACTTCTGCATCCAGGGAAGAGAGACACCCCACCACCCTAAAGCCTTAGTACATTCAACCTTGATTTTACTGCACACTGTATGTGGCAGCTTCTAGGGCTATTCTTAGTATTTCTTAAGTATAGTATTTAGTTGGGTAAAATAAGGCCTATCTCCATAAAAAGTCAAATAATAGTAGAAGACAGCCTATGATTAATGTGCAGCAGGCTTGAATCAAGGATAATTTCACGAAGAAAATACAGGTTGAAAGTTTCTATGAGGCTCTGAACTCTTGTGTTCTGCCATTTGAACAATCTGAATCAAATCCAATGGTCTTAACTCAACATGTCTTCTATTTCTACATCCCTCAGAGTATCCAGGATGAAGGAGAAGATTAAAGAGAAACAAGAACAAAGAGAAACCATAAGCCAAGTCAAAGTCCAGGTGGCCAACCTACGGAAACAGGCTCTGCAGGAGCAGTTCAATGAATGGATTCTAGACCCTAAGGGAACGATTCCTATGAAAGTGGTAAGAAAGGGGGTGTCTGCGAAGGGTAGGTGGGTTAGAAAATAAGAAGGTGATACTGAGTGGAGTACTAAAATCCTCCCTCTAAATTTTCAGTCCTGCTGACGTAAGTCAATTCATGACACTAGTCCATGAGAGTAGATTTCTTTAATTTTCTCTTGAGTGTTTTTAAAAATTTTAGCTAGAGTTCTAAAAATACATTGACTCTGGCTGAGGTTCCTAAAATCTTCATTACAGCCAGGCACAGCTTCCATTTGTTTTTTTGTATATATCTAACTAATTACTTCTGTGGGCTAAGAGACTATCTTAGCTCCAGATGACATCTGTACTCTAAGAGTTAAATATTTTCTTTTAGGTATGTATATACAGATATGAGAATACTTACTGGTTAAATAAAATGATAAGCATATTTTTGGTTCAAAGTGAATTTTTTATTGGATTTATTGGGGTTTTATCAGTTAATAAACTTATATAGATTTCAGGTGTACAGTTCTATTAATACATGTATATTGTATTGTGTGTTTACCACCCCAAGTCTCCTTCCATCACCATTTATTTATCTCCCTTTTCCCCCTAGTAATCACCATAGTGTTGTCTGTGTCTATGAGTTGTTGTTTTTTTTATATATATTTTCTTTATTAATTTCAGAGAGGAAGGGAGAGGTTTATCTCCCTTTTCCCTCTAGTAATCACCTTAGTGTTGTCTGTGTCTATGAGTTGTTTTGTTTTGTTTGTTTGTTTTTATATTTTCTTTATTGATTTCAGAGAGGAAGGGAGAGGGAGAGAGACAGAGACATCAAGGATAAGAATCATTGATCCACTGCCTCCTGCACAGCCCCACTGGGGGTGGAGCCTGAAACCTTGAATTGAATCTTGACCTCCTGGTTCATAGGTCAATGCTCAATCACTGAACCACACTGGCTTGGCTGGCTGAACAAGTTTTTTTCAAAAATTATTATTAATCCCTTCACCTTTTTCATCCAGCTTGGCTGGCTGAAAAAGTTTTTTCAAAAATTATTATTAATTCCTTCAACCTTTTTCATCCAGCCTCTCTACCACTACCCCCCACAGTGAATTATTAAAAAATAGATGAAGGAAGATACGCCCCAGACTGGGAGAAAATATTTGCAAAAGATATATCTGATAAAGGACTATTATCTAAAATATACAAAGAACTCTTAAAACTCAACAATAAGAAAACAAACAATCTATTAAAAATGGGTAAAAGACCTAAACTGACAATTCCCCGGAGATATCCAGATGGCAGATAAGCATATTAAAAAATGCTCCACAGCTCTAGCCAGTTTGGCTCAGTGAATAGAATGTTGGTCCATGGATTGAAAGGTCCTAAGATCAATTCTGATCAAGGACACGTACCGCTGGGGATCGAGCCTGATCCCAGGTGCTAGGCAGGGCTAGTGTGGGAGGCAACCAATTGATGTGTCTTTTTCACTGTCTCCCACCCTCCCTTCCACTCTCGCTAAAAATCAATGGAAAAATATCCTCGGGTGAGGATTAACAACAACAAAAAAAGATGCTCCACATATGTTATCAGGGAAATGCAAAGTAAAACAACAATAAGGCCCAGCCAGCATGGCCAAGTGGTTGAGTGTTGACTTACGAACCAGGAGATCAGGTTTGATTCCCAGTCAGGCCATATGCCCGGGTTGCAGGCTCTATCCCCAGTGGAAGGTATTCAGGAGACAGCCAATCAATGATTCTTTCTCATCATAGTTGTTTCTATCTCTCCCTTTCACTTCCTCTCTGAAATCAATAAACATCTATTTAAAACAAACAAAAAAAAAACCAATGAGATACCACTACTCACCTATCAGAATGCCCAAATTCAAGAATACTGAGAACACTAAATACTGACAAAGATGTGCAGCTATAGGAACTTTCATTCATTGTTGTGGAAATGCAAAATGCTACAGCCACTTTGGAAGACAGTTTGGCAGTTTCTTAGAAAACTGAACATAATCTTACCATATGATCCAGCCAACATATTCCTTGGTATATACCCAAAGGAGTTAAAAACTTATGTCCATGCAAAAATATGCAGA